CAGTTTTATCAGAACCAAACTTTACAGTTTTATCAGAACCAAACTACAGTTTTATCAGAACCAAACTACAGTTTTATCAGAACCAAACTACAGTTTTATCAGAACCAAACTACAGTTTAATCAGAACCAAACTACAGTTTTATCAGAACCAAACTGAAAGAGCTTTTTATCACAACGGTTCAACCAGAGAAATGTGGAGAATTTGTTTATCTCTTTCTGCCTTTGTTTTTATTTATTGTTGAATTAAAGTATTAGATAAAGAGAGGCACAATCGGTTCGTTAAACCAGAACACAACATTTAAATTAGATTTTTGTTTCTTTTTTACAGAATAAAATCAATTCCTTTGATTTGTTTCAGTTTGACTCATGAAGTCAGAAAGAGTTTATTGTTGCATCGTCAGCAGAATTTCAGGGTCATGATGACTTTAATGATTTATTCGTCTTTAAAAACACTTTTTGTTGCACTTAATGCTTCAGACATTTTAAGCATCTGTTTTTTGTGTCATTTAATTTTTTTGTCTTTTAGATTTTTACGGATCGTTTTGTTTTAAATCAGTTTTAAATTTTATTTTAATGATTTTTCAGATTTAATGACACTTTGGTTGATGTTTAATAAAGTTTTAATTTGTAAAATCTCCTGATTCTCCTCAACTCTAACAACTCAGGCATTTCAAATGTTCTCTTGGATTAGATTAGATTAGATTAGATTAGATTAACAGTTTGTTTTGTTTTTCATTAAATTGATGATAATAAACATAAAACAGCAGATCAACAGTCAGGAGGTGACACTGAGTTGGACTGATCTGACCGGTTCTGGTCCTAAAAGAACCAGAAGATGTTCTGGTTCTGTTTGGTTCTGATCCAACAGAACCAAAAGATGTTCTGGTTCTGTTAATTTTAGTCTACCACCATCTGGTGGCAGCAGCAGGTCTCTGCAGCTCCTGGAGGAAACAGGAGGTTTTCTGGACTGAGATCAGAACCACAGAGGTTCTACTGAAACTAACTGCTGAGGAACATTTTACCAAACATTAGTTTGTGTTTTGATATATTTGGGTTTTTGTGGATTACAGATCCTTGCTTTTAAAATAATTCTTTTATAATCATTCCACACTTGAAATAATAAAAAATAACTGCATGTTTACCTGCCACAGGTGTTCTGCACAGATCTGTTCCTCTGTAGGATTTATCCATGTTTTAGTTTGATCCTGTGGAAACAAAAAAAATCATTCAAGTTGTTTGAATGATTTGATCATCATCATCATCATCATCATCATCATCATCATCATCATCATCATCATCATCATCATCATCATCATCATTTCCTTGACTTGTTGCCATGGAGGCAGAACAAATATTACCCAACAACCTCCATCACCGGAACAGGTGAGGACATAAAAAGGAGTCAGGTGTCCTCTGATAACTGGGGACACGTCTTTGATGAGTTCTTTAGTTTTGACCTCGAGGATCAGGTTTGACAGAGGTGGACCACCCAGTTCAGGTTCTTGATCTGAGACAGGAAGGAGTCATGATGTCCAGGAGGGCATGGACTTGCAGCACTTATCATGTCCTCAGATCCTCGCACAGTGTCCTCAGAGGAGCTGAGGACAAGATGAGAGGAGCTGAAGACATGATGAGAAGAGCTGAGGACAGGATGTGAAGAGCTGAGGACAGGATGTGAAGAGCTGAGGACAGGATGAGAAGAGCAGAGGACAGGATGAGAAGAGCTGAGGACAGGATGAGAAGAGCTGAGGACAGGATGAGAGCTGAGGATGTGATGAGAGGAGCTGAGGACAGGATGAGAAGAGCTGAGGACAGGATGAGAAGAGCTGAGGACAGGATGAGAA